CAGGGAAAGCCTTGGGAACAAGAGCAGGTCTGATACTGGTCCTCACAACCTAAATAACAGAGAGGCTTTCTAGAAGAAAATGATTTTCATTCATGATTGAGCAACGCAGTGGGAATACGGTGGGCACATTCAGGGAGGTAAAGAAAGACCAGGATTTTTAAAGGAAAAGTGAGAAGGGTTACATTAGTTGTTTTGAGACAATTATCCTTGGTTACAAGAATCAATAACAAGGGTGGCATCAGTCCAAGGTTAGACACGTAGTTGCTGGGCAGATGTCCTTGCAGAAGTATTTTTTGTGTAAGGTTGCAGTGTGGCCTTTGTGCAAGGTCATGGTTTTTGCTGAGCCTTTTGCGATAGTTCTTGTTGTCAGGCATATGTGCTTGAGAATCCTCCCTTCATGGCCCCAGCTCCATTTGTCAGTTTGACACAAGTTACTTTGTTTTGATTCTGATGACTTTCATACTATGAAAGGACAACAGGAAGGAGGATTGAGCAGGTAGAACCTCAGACTGCTATATGGTTCTGAGAAAATCTTGGATAGGAATATGGGGAAATCTTCCAGCAAAAGTTGCCCAATAGAAGAGTGCCACATGGGCCAGGAATGGGCTGGCACCAGTGCCCTGGAATGCTCACACTTTGGCTGGGAAGGGCACAGTGTAAGCAAGCACTCAGAGCAAAGGGTGTAATGGATTCCAAGGGTGGCAGCTGGAGCTGTCAGTTATCAATGTTCCAGACAACGAGTTCTTTTGAAGAAGATCTAAACAACAAGTTTCTCTGGATGCACAAGGGCCATTTAAACTCCTGTGGTATAATAAAAAATAAATTTGGTCATTGTCCCTGGTTTCTGGCACAGAGCTCCCAAATCCTTGGGATCCCCTAAGTGATGTGTCTTCTGGATGCTAATGGGATGACTGTTGACAGGAGTCCCTAGATAGCTTCAGGATGGAGACTGATCCCTAGAAAAACTATTATGTGATTAGAGGATTAAAACTTTCAGCCCTACCCCAATCTCTGGAAAGAGAAGAGGGGCTGGAGATCGAGTTGAATCACCAATGGCCAATGATTTAATCAATCATGCCTACATAATAAAGCCTCAGTAAAAGCTCTTGAGCCTCTAGGTTGGGGGTCTTCCAAGTTGGTGAACACATTGAGGCACCCACCCAGAGAGGGTATGGAAGTTCTTCACACCCACCCCCACCCCCACTCCTTTTCCCCCAAGAGATGCCTTATGCATCTCTTCCATTTGACTGCTTGAGTTGTATCCTTTATAATAAAACTGATGTTCAGTATAGTGGTTTCCATGAGTACTAAGAGTTAGTCTAGTGAATTATCAAAACTGAGGAGGGGGAGAAGTCATGGGAACCCCCCAATTTGTAGTCTTCTGGGCAGAAGTGAAGGTAGCCTGGGGACCCCATTTGTAGCTGGTGGCTGATGTCTGAAGTAGGGGCAGGCAGTCTTGTAGGACTGAGCTCTTAATTTGTGGAGTCTGGAGTCTGCATTAACCCTGGGTAATTAGTGTCAATATTGAAAGGAATTGTCGGACACCCAGTTGGTGTCAGAGTTAGTTGGTACAGGAATGACATATTCATTGTCAGGAAAACCACACAACTAATTATCCTGTAGAATGCAGCTCAAATATCACCTCTTGGGAAAGATTTTCCTATTCCTAAAACTAGCTCAAGGCCCTGGCTTTCCTTTGTAGCACACATAAAGATTTATTCATGTAATTATCTGATAAATGTCTGCCCCATCAATTAGACAGCAAGTTTCATAAAAGCTTTTTTGTTGGTTATTTGTTCCTGTTTTTAATTAATTATTCTAAACTAGAGATCCTCTCATATTACAAGGTTGTTGTAAGAATTGAAAGCGTTAATATACATAATGCACTTTTACATAGTAAGCACTATATAAGGGCTTGCTGTTATTATTGCTCATTTAAGTCTACAGTACTCAGGATGAAGTAGGCCACAAATATGTTAAAGTAAACTGAATTTGTATATAAATTATGTTAAATTTAACTAGATAATAAAATTCTACATTATAGGTTCATTTTCAAAATACTTTTTATTTCCTTCAAACAACATTAAGCTCAAGGACCAGGTATGGTTATAGACAAGTATCTGAATGTGACATGAACCCTATATTACCATTAATATTACAGACAAGAGCCTATTGCCCAAAAGTGGGTAAAACTAGGCAAATCCATGCCTTTGTCTTATGCTTATCTAGATGTGATATAAGAGATATTTACAAACAAGCAAAATATTGAAAGGAAGGAAGGATAAAGAAGTAGATTTTAAATAGATTTAAAAAGTTTCTCTTTAAATCTATGCAGATCTCTCATGATATTTAGGGACAAGATAAAAATCACCAACTAAAAATTAATAGGAAAGCCAACATGAACTAGTAAATACTTGTAATAAATTCAAATTCCATCAAAAACTCAACCTTGCCTGAAAGTCTATCAGAGGTCCTTGGAATCATGTAATATGTTAAGAGGTTGCCATATATTTTTACCAGTGTATTTTGTTTATATGTAAGCAGGTGTTTTAAATCAGTGTAATTTAACAAGGCTCAGACACTTAAGGATGACAGAGTACGTGGTCAATAAACATTGGCTACACGAATTCAAGGCTATTAGCACCCAATATTTACTGGATATTTGTTTTACTGGGCATAAAGTTATGTTTTATGCATATACGCATGCTTAAAAAAGTCCCTGAGGTTGGTATTGTCTCATTTTAAGGAATGAGGAAACTGAGGCATAAAGTAGCTAAGCATCTTGTTCAGAGAGTAAGTAACAGCAATAATCAGAATTTGGACCCAAATCTTCCTGGCATCAAGCCCATGTTCCTAATCCCCACACTGGGACTGCCCAAAGAGATTAATGGAAGGATGTATACAGTGAGTGAACAAATGAAGCTTTACTATTAAAGCACTTAATTTTATCCTGTCTTTTTTTAATTTTCCATCAAAATGCTTGTAATTTATATCCCAAAAATAAATAAAACCTTAATTTTTGTGTTAATTTCACTGAGATGCTATTTGCCATCCATTCTCCTTGGTTTTCTACTTCCATTAAAGGAAACAATGAGAAAGTGGATATAAGTGACCAATGGGGATGTAAGAAGAGTTCAGAGAGGTCCAAACAGGACCTTAGACATTAATTGCCTAAAAGGGAATGCATTTTATAATTCTCTGCTTACTGCAACTGGTTCACATGAAAAGAAAGAACTCTCTGAGAGATAACTGAACTCTTTAAGGTATTTTTTAATCATTTATTTGCAAATCTTCTTAGGAATCACAGAATAGTATGTAGTGGCATCTTTAGGATATTGAGGCCTGGATAACTAATCAGAAAACTGCACTTTCTGAGTAATTTGGTCCAACAGGATTCTTGTGTAATTACAATCAAGTAAGAAAATAGATAGATGCAGCTGCAATGCTTATGAGATGATATGAGCTTACGAATAAATGGTAATAGCTAAGTGAATGCTGTAATGGGAGGGAAAGGCCATGTAAATGGTAATTATCATTAACCACTCATGGATGTGAGACCATATGTCCATGACCTTTGTTACTATTAAATGCTACCACATATAGATATGTAGATTACTTTAAATTAATGAGCTTCTTCTATTGTGGCAAGACATCAATTACTCTGAGGAGGAGAGAAATGCTGCAATCTCTAATAGATTTCCAGATCATCTGCCCCATCTAAGGGTAACTTTAAGCTGAATAATATTAAAGGCCTAGTACTTTCAAAAGTTAAGGGATGAAAGAAGATCCGTTTATGAGTCATAAGGTTATATACTGTTTCTTAGCAACCAGCATTTGTCTTTCATGTAACTAGAAGTTGATGAAAAAGGGGAAACTGAAAATAAAACCATTTGGATAGTTCCAATTCACAGAGGCAGCACTTCGAAAGTAGTAATGTCGTTACAAATCACACAGTTGCGTCAAAGCAGTTCATTCCATGGGGTGGAAAGAAAGTCTCACTAACACTCTGCATAATAAATGTTTCCAAGATACCAACTGTAGTCCCTGAACCAAAGATCAGGAATAGATGCTACCTATCTGTTCCTGCAGAGGGCACATGTCCAAGCCAGAACAAGAGGCATTCCAGTCTCTCACCTCCTGACTCTCAGCTCCACTCCTCTGGTCCTAAGAGGCCGGTCTCTCTGGCAGTCTTGTTGGGATCCAGGCTTGCTCCTAGCTAGAGGCAGCATTCGGATCTTCTACCCCATATCACATTTTGCCTTGGCCCTTACCCTGGCATTCGATGTAGTGCTTCCATTTAGGGCACCATTTTTTTTTTTTTTTAACAGTAAGGGAAAACTTATTTCCATACTAGTTGGAGTATAAGTTCTGGAGATACCTGGAAAATCAGGAAGATGCCTAGGCGATTTCTCCACGCCCATATCTTTCAACTGTAGCCAGTTACAAGGACCAGGAAAGTATTCATAGTTTCAAAAGGGCTGGGCATGGTGGCTCATGCCTGTAATCCTAGCACTCTTGAGAGGCCAGGACGGGAGGATTGCTTACTGCCAGGAGTTTGAGGCTACCTTGAGCAAGAGCGAGACCCAACTCTATTTAAAAATAAATAAATAAATAAGTAAGTAAGCAAGTAAGTCCCAGCTGCTTGGGAAACTGAGGCAGGAGGATCACTTGAGCCTAAGAGTTTGAGGTTGCAGTGAGCCATGATGACACCACTGCACTCTAGCCGGGGTGACAGGGCAAGACTGTCTCAATAAATAAATAAATAGTTTGAAAAGAATTCCTTGAAAGGAATGGGACTTTGAATATGTAGGGAAGACCTGCAAACTAGCAGGCTCCATTAATAAGGCAATTTATGGGTGGTTTTATATAGGCGAATAAGCCTTCATCTGTCAAAATCCATGTTAAGGAGTCCCTGTGGTTTCAAACTCCAAAGACCAAGAAGATGCCTGTGAGTGTGTTTGGGGCCTGAGCTCCCACCACCAAGACAGGTTGTTACTTACTGCATGTGGCGCGCGTGCTCTGTGCTCTCCCGAGAAGGGCCGTTGGGGGCTGCCTCCGACCCGGGTCTCTCGCCTGGCAGCGGGCCCAGCCCCCCGCGCCGCCCATAGGGGTCCTGGGCCGGGCGGGAGGAAGAGGAGGCGCTGAGCCCGGAGCCCAGCACCCTGCTGCGAGTGTACATGCTTCAGAGCCCACGGAGTCCGGGCTGCAGCCGGGTCTCGAGATGCGATCGCGAAGAGCAGGGGCAGCGGTTTTAACAGCTGAGTTTCGATTTCTTGCTATAGGTTGCAGATGCGCCTGCCCCGGGAACTTCCCCATTCTTTCTCCTCTGAAGCGCCCTCGGACCGCGGCCCAGGTTCACAGCTCGGCGGCGCCCGCCCAGGATGTGGAGTTAAGCTGGCTTGGCCGGCAACAGGTGAGTCAGTTTAAGGTCTCACACGCACCTTAGAGGGTAATAAGGGTAGACAGCTGTGATCAGCCACGGACACTTTGTGAGCGAGGAGCCGCAAGGTGACTAGAATCCTGAAAGATACCTTAGGAATTGTTTCACAGGTAACTAATTTTTTTTTTATTTCAGCATATTATGGGGGTACAGATGTTTAGGTTACGTATGTTGCCCTTGCCCCCCGTCCCCCACAAGTCCGAGCTTCAAGCGTGTCCATCCCCTGGATAGTGCGCATAGCACTCTTTGTGTATGCAAATACCCGTCCCCTCCTCCCCCTCCCCCCTCGCCCCTGCCTAACATCCAATAAATGTTATTCTTATATGTGCACTTATGTGTTGATCAGTTAATACCAATTTGATGATGACTCCATGTGGTGCTTGTTTTTCCATTCTTGGGATACTTCACTTAGTAGAATGCGTTCCAGCTCTATCCAGGAGAATACAAAAGGTGCTATAGCACCATCGTTTCTTAAAGCTGAATAGTACTCCATGGTATACATATACCACATTTGATTAATCCACTCATGTATTGACGGGCACTTGGGTTGTTTCCACATCTTTGCAATTGTGAATTGTGCTGCTATAAACATTCGGGTGCAGGTGTCTTTTTCATAGAGCGACTTTTGTTCTTTTGGGTAGATGCCCAGTAATGGGATTGCTGGATCAAATGGTAGCTCTACTTGTATCTCTTTAAGGTATCTCCATCTTGCTTTCCGCAGAGGTTGCACTAGTTTGCAGTCCCACCAGCAGCGTATGAGTGTTCCTATCTCTCCGCATCCACGCCAACATTTATTGTTTGGGGACTTTTTGATAAAGGCCAGTCTCACTGGAGATAAGTGATATCTCATTGTGGTTTTGATTTGCATTTCCCTGGTGATTAGAGATGTTGGGCATTTTTTCATATGTTGTTTGGCCATTATTCTGTCTTCTTTTGAAAAGTTTCTGTTCATGTCCTTTGCCCACTTTTTGATAGGGTTGTTTGATTTTTTCTTGTTGATTTTCCTGAATTCTAAGTAGATTCTAGTTATCAGCCCTTTATCGGATTTGTAGCATGCAAAAATTTTCATGAGAAGTTACAACCGATGCCGTGGAGATTCAAGATATAATTTATGAATATTACAAAAACCTTTAGGCACACAAACTGGAAAATGTGGAGGAAATGGACAAATTTTTAGAAACACACAGCCTCCCTAGGCTCAACCAGGAAGAAATGGAGTTCCTGAACAGACCAACATCAAGGACTGAAATTGAAACAGCAATAAAAAATATTCCAAAAAAGAAAAGTCCCGGACCAGATGATTTCACACCCGAATTTTACCACACCTACAAAGGTAACTCTAATTTGAGGTTACTGCTGTGTGTTTGAAACTGCGAACAATGTATTAACCTTACAACATCAGATGAAGTCCATAACTTAAGATCTTCTAAACAAAACATTGCCTTTTATCAGTAATGACTGCTGTTTGGTTGTTACCAATGCAGATACTTTTGAGTTAGAGGAAATGGAAAGTGAAATCAAAAGAGTAGAAAACAAAAAACAAAACCCACAAGGCTGCAGAAGCAAGCCGACATAGACAGGATTCTCCAGGCAGCCTTGCTAAGCAACTGGCCAGGCATTCTGCACCTGCTCTGTGTAGGACATTGGGCAGTGATTCCAATAGTGTGGGGACTTCTAAAAATATGGATTTGCAAGACTGTTTCTGCAGGTCTAGGGGTGAGCTCTGGCATTCATATTTTTAAAAAGCTCTCAGATGATTCTGATGTGTGCCTTGTTGATCACCACGGTCACAATGCTGGCTATACAAAGATAAGTGTATTCTAGGAGGCAGGTAAACAAATGCAAATAAATGCAATGACAGGTGGATGTGTGGAGCCATGAGCCCACAGGGAAACTAGGGATTAGCCCTCTGAGTATTTCAGGAAGAGGGACATCTGAGAATGAGCCACAAAAGACACAGGAATTCACCAGGAAGAAGGAGACTATGTCAGAGGCATGTGGCTTAACATGACATGATGTGTACCTAATTCCAGGTGATGCCATGTGGCTGGAGCATCCCAGCCCCAGGTCAGTGAGCCACTTAGGAGCTGGACTGTCTTGTTTACATTATTGGTGCTCAGAACAGAATGACAAATGTAGGTTTGATAGCTAATAAAAGAATGAAAATAAAGGGTGGGCAAATGCATTTGGTGGGACAGGAGAGGGGAAGGTAGTGCAAAGGATATGGTAGGAAAGGAAGTCAGGCTTTCTGTCCCATCCCAAGGCTCTGTGGAGTAGGCCAGGGGGTCTCAAATTTCAGTGAGCATCAGAACCACTTGGAGGTCTCTGTTAGTTAGCAGCTGCAGGGAAAAGAAAAGAAAAGGAAAGAAAGAAAGAGAGAAAGAGAAAGAGAAGAGAAGAGAAAAAAGAAAGAAAAAGGAACCACCTGGAGAGTGTGTTGAAACAAATTTCTAGGCCCCAACCCTAGAGTCTCTGATTCAGTAGGTCTTGGGTAAGGCCCCAGGATTTGCATTTCTAACAAGTCTGCAGGTGATACCAACACTGCCAGTCCCATGGGCACCCTTTGGGAACCACTGCTGTAGGCAACGTGGAAGGCACAAAGGTTTTTCAATAGGGCAGTTATGTAATAATATCTGTTGGGGAAAGAAAGTTAGCTCTTAGCAATGCGAAAGGGAGATCGAAAGATGAAGAGATTAAAATCTGAGAGATAGATTAAGAGCCAGGTTATTATAATCTAAGTAAGAAATACAGAGCTGAGCTAAGGCGATCTAGAAAGCTGGGGGCAAAATCAAGACATTTCAAATGTGTATTTGTGTATCACCCATTCTCTCACCTTATGTGTGTGTGTTTGGGTTAGAATATGGGCTGTCCTTTTACCAGCGTGGGTTCTGGGGTGCCTGCCTCTGTAAAGATGGACGGTAGAGAGAGGCAGAGGTGAGTGGGGAGGGTTCTGCACCCCCATCCCTGCTTCAGTGATATACGTTTAGCACCCCTTATTTCTTCTATGTGCTGGACTGCTGCCTAATTTAATTTGAAGCAAGAATTCCACAGCTTTAAAAGTTTGAAAACCACTGTACCAGACAATTACCTAGGAATATGTTTTAAGGGACACGGGAAAGACCTGAAATCTAGTGAGATTGTTAGATTACCTGGAATTTGGCCAATTAGAGATTCATTTAGGAAATGGTTTTCTTTTATAATGTAACTGCCTCTGGGAACTAATCATTTATTCATTCCTTTATGTAAATGAGTTTAATCTGAGCAAAAGACATTTTGGTTGGGGAAGAGGGAAGCTGAGGGAAAAGAAAAGGAAGATTCGAAAAGTGCAAAGGAAAATGTAAAATGAGGCACTGTTGAGGAATGGAAATTCAGGACTACAACGGGCAATGTTAACCAGCCCCATGAGCTTTAAGAGAATATTAAATCAAGAATAATCTTCACGACTTTGTTTTGCTGTTAACGTGTCCAAGTGTGTCTTTATCGTCCAAGGAAATGTATATCTGATTTGTAAATTAGTTGCCTTAGATTACTCCATCATTAGTGTGTATAAATATTTAGATACATAAACTCTAAGCTTTTTCTTGTCATAAAGTATCTCAGCAAAAAAGCTTAGTTTGTGAAAAGTTTAAAAACTTCTTCAAATTTGATTCTTTAGTGGGAAGTCAGATTAATCCAATAGATTTAGGACAACAGTTACCTTAACATTTTTTTTTTCTCTTCTAATAAAGGAGTTATGTAAAACTCTCCTAATATTTGGCATCTCTTCATTTTTAGTATGTGTGTGTTTGAGCACATTTGTATTGTGACAATTTCATATTTTTTAGAAATTCTTCAAATTCTACCATAGAATGGTGGAATGCTGTGATTGTAAGTCACCGTAAATTCATTCAAGAAGTATTTATTGAATGAATAAGCATACATCACTCACTGTATTAGCCCCTGGAGCTGCAGTGGTGAACAGACAGAACCTTGTCATTCTAGCTTCATGTTTAAGATCATCTAACTACTTCATTTAAAGCATAAGGAGACAGAAAGAAATCAAATGACTTCCCAGCATTGTGTACAAATCAGTGGCAGGGTCACAATTCGAATTTAGGTCTTCTGAGTCCAAGCCTAGCTTTTTACATTTTGGAAGACAATCTCTACAAAATATCTCTTGTGACAAAATTCAGAATTTGTAATGTTTTTCACTTATAATTTTCCCAATGAGCAGCTTTGTATTATTTTCCAAAACCAAAATAATTTTGTCAGAGTTTCTAAACCTATCAGTATCAACATTAATAAAAACCTTAACACACCAATATTTACCCCTAGAATTATATATGATCAAATAATTCCTACAATGATAGTGCTTTATACAACTTGTCATGATTTCGTGAATAGCAAACATGCTAAATTTGGGTTAAAATGTCTTTTCTTTAACAATGTTAAAAGAGTAAGCTTTATCGTGTAGCACAAAGAATTTTACTTAAGCATGGAAAGGTATACAGTTGTTCTCTCTGTTTTTCTGATGACAATACAAACTGTCACTTGGGGAAATGAGGAATGTCAAGATGTGCTTTAAATGATATGGTATTTTCTGTCCTCAGGTAGTGGCTGAATTTTCTTGTTTGTAAATTCAAACCAGAGAGGACCAGCTAGCAGCTGTCATCTCTGGATTCTAACCCTGTGTAGTAGCTGTCACAGATCTCTGCTGCTGCAGGGGTGGAAGGGATTCCCCTTACTTTTGGGGAAACTCCTATAGACTGTCACTGAAACCGGCAGAGAAATCCCCT